AAATCGATAAACTGTCATCTAGAGTAAACGGTTGGAGGGATCTTCCTGAAAATTTGGTAACTTATGTAATTGAGTGTGCTCTATCTTTTTTATATAAACACCAAAGGAGGTTTATGTGGAAGAAACTGTTCAAGCAATGAGTCGGACTTTTTGTCATTTTGATTAGCTGTGTTTGGGAATCCATAAAATCCCAAAAAAGAAAAGCTTTGTGGAATCTCTCAAAAGCCATTTTGTAAAGAAATAGTGCACCATTTTGATGAAACAAAACGTGAAGAAGAAGAAGGCTTTATGGGTGCAAAAAGTTTCTTTAAATTTCGGCGCCGACTCATTCTCCCCAACCCAATACTATGATCATCCTGTAGGAACAGCTTGACGAATGGAGTCATGGTCTTTCAACCAGTCATGGTTTTGATTCGCAAGAGGATTCAAATCTGTCAGCAATAGACTTGTATTCAAGCACTCTACCACTCGGCCACCGCTGCACTCTCTCCCTGCCTTACGAAAGCTCATAAATCCCGTACCGTATTTTCTCTAATAGTAGTGCACCCTAAGCTTCGCCTAAATTGCTCGAAATCTCGAAAAACGCTTATCAGAACCTATCGATGTGGGGTCGGAAAATGTAGCTGACGATGAGATCTAGTGGGGGGATTTGAGTGTTGAGCTGCTACAAAAGCTTGGAAACCGTAAAATAGTCACCAACTCGGCTCACCGGGGTGCACTACTATTAGAGAAAATACGGTATGCCAAAAACGTTTTTGCCAGATTTCTCGCGATTGCGCGTCATTTTGCAAAAACTAAATACAGCATCGGAATCAGCGTAAAATTCCGCATCCGATGGTCTAGGTCTCATTTTCCATCTCCACATCACTCTTTCCTTGTGAGTCCAGAGTCGAAACTCTGAAAGTAAATCAAATGAAAGTAAGTAACTCTGACGAAACTCTGAAAGTAATTACACCCTACACAAGGCAGGGTGTAATTCAAATATCTGAAGAATATTGGTGCCTAAAAGGCAGATGAGAAAAAAGAATTTGTAAGCGATTAAAATAGAAAATAGATGGCTTAAGACAAGAAATAAAACGCGTAAAGTTGAAGAAAAATTGCAGAAACATTCTCGAAAATGAAATTGGATTAGTGTCAATGATTTCTTTTAAAGTCCTCTAGTGAAGCTCAAATAAAGCTCAATTTACTGTGCAGGAGACTCGGCACGATTGGCGACTATATTTGTGGACTGGGCTTGATGAGCGGACTCCTATTCAGTGGATATGGTCTGCTCAAAGCCGCATTTGGTGACTCTTCTGTTGATCTCTTCAACCATTACGCTTTTCTCGAGCTGCTCGCGATCCCTTGTGGAATTTGGGCGATCGGGAGATCGATTTATTGGCTATTTGATCGCAATTTACATTGGCAAAGGACCACCAGCAAAGAAACTTTGCCCCGGTGGCTCACGATCACCACATTTCTCGCCTCTTTTGGCGTTTCATCAAATTTTGGCATTGATTCTACGATTGCCCTCAAATTGGGGCCCACTATTTTCGGCTGTCTAGCCTATGGGTTCAGTTTGGCGAAATGGACAACGCGTGGGTCGAGAATACCTATCGTAGACACTGTAATAGTACCCCACCCCATAATGACGGTGCGGAGTGTTGCGTAGTCTAGCTTTGAACGAGTTTTTCTCGACACTGGTTTATGCTACAATGTTCGCTTAGGTACTAAAAAATAGCTGAGCTTCAGAGCTATTTTTTGATACCAAAGACGCATTTTATGAAAGTACGAGCGCTTTGAAAAAAATTAAATACTAAAAAGCTTTTGCAACTACCTGACTGTACAAGGGGATGCGGTGCTATTAAAGTATTTACGGTATGTAGACAATGTGGTATAATGGTACGATATAATAACGATCTATAATATATTATAACGGTACGGTAATGGTATAATGACATATCAACAACATTTAGTTCCGAATAGTTTTTCGTTTTTGACAAAATGTTTTTTTATTGGCTATAGGGCAAAATAAACAAAAAATGTCCTATAACTTTGGAAAGAGCCTTAAATTCAATGCAAATTGTATCTAATTTAGTCTGTTTAAACTTTAAAATTAGTCTCAGAGTCTCAGAGTTAGTTTCAGAGTCTCAGAGTTAGTCTAAGAGTCTTAGAGTTAGTCTCAGAGTTAGTCTCAGAGTTAGTCTCAGAGTTAGTCTCAGAGTTAGTCTCAGAGTTAGTCTCAGAGTTAGTCTCAGAGTTAGTCTCAGAGTTAGTCTCAGAGTTAGTCTCAGAGTTAGTCTCAGAGTTAGTCTCAGAGTTAGTCTCAGAGTTAGTCTCAGAGTTAGTCTCAGAGTTAGTCTCAGAGTTAGTCTCAGAGTTAGTCTCAGAGCAATCTTGTCTTGTTTAGATCGAAGATCGGGTTGTTTATCGCTTGAGTGGGCAACAATTGCACGACGACACATAGAATCTCAGTCAAAAACGTTACAAGAATCATCGACATCATGAGGAAAAGAAGCGTTAATTAGAAAATAAATAAACTGTGTAAGTGAAATCATTTTCATTTACTAGTTATTTTCGCATTTGAACTTATACAATTTTGTTTTATTTACTCATTGCTTAAACATTTTAATACAAGATTAAGGTTCTTGTAACATTGCAACAACATTACATTACAACAACTCTCTTGTCTAGACTGTGCTCCTCTCAAATCAAATCTTTCAAATCATGTTGTCTAAAAAGTCCCTTTTCTTACCGCGCTTTCTTAGCTTTACAATTCAAGTATGCTCCCGTTTCGTTCTACGGAAGCGAACTCACGTCCGAAACGTCAATGGCTCTGGTATTACCCATCCTATCGTTCATTCTACTCGATGTTCTACACTCCGTACAGCTACAGCTACTCGCAGGTTGTGAAAATTGCGAAAATCAGTATAGGGTCAGGCTTTAATCAAAAAAGCAATAAAAGGCAGATTTTTCGGTACTAATCAGTTACACACCCCATCAAGTACGGTCATTTACCCCAAACTCACGCTTTTGTGATAGAGCTGAGTTCAGGGGCGTTGCACTTGTCCCAAGAAGTACATACTTGGTGTGATTTTTGGTGTGATCGCCAATAGGTGTACAACGGAAAATTGCCGTATCTCGGTCAATTTTCCACTGGACACCTATTGACAATCACACCGAAAATGCACATGTCTAGTACATACTATAGCTATCTACTGTGCACCTCCTAATACATGCGCAGCGCCTACCTGAATAGCTCGGCTTTTAGGAGCGTATACCATATTCTCACTATTAGTATGGCGCTGAACGATTTTTTAACTCTCTTCTGCACGATTCTTTCCACGCCTGGCTAGCCTGGCTTTGGACGGGAGGTGTATAATCATCCTTAATGCAATGGGGGTGCATAACCGACCAGTAGATTTTTGTTTCTGGTCTGACCAGGTCTAGCTTCTTTTGCCAGTGCCGTTATTTGAGTAAAAATCGTACAACTCTTTGCCAGTTTTTGCCGTCTGGACATGTTGTGATTTTTTTAGACGGACACACTTTCACCGGAGGACTTCCAGCATAATAGAAAACAATTATGCGGGACCTCACTGCACCAGAATGCATTTGATCTGCATTGTTCTGTGACTTCAATAAACACTTTATTTACTAAATGAACTGATTATTTTTCCCACCTATTGTTTTTCAACGTAAATAATAACGTTTTCTTTTATAATACGCTTTCTTCTTTCTTCTTTATGCAAGGTAAAGTCCCGCCATAACAATTGGAATTATTCAATCGTAGCCTTATCTAAAACCTTACACAAGAATTGAACCTCGATTTCTGACAGAATTTTCTCTTATCTCTGATGGTGATGGGGTTTTTATTGCTTTTCTTTCTCTCTGTTTCTTTCTTTTTGGTTCACTATCTAGCGCACAGCTTCAGTTGACCAACTTGCATAAGAATTCTTCAGGAGCGGTTTTCAGAAGATTTCCTAAAATTCAAAACCCAATGACAAGCAGTTACTTAAAAATACTCGAAACTTCGAGTGTTTACAAGTTTTTTTGAGGATCAAAAACAGAATTTTCTGTATATTGGTAACAATATTGGTGTCCTATAGATATTTGCCTGATATTTGCCTGTACTCTGACACTTCTTTTTTGTCTTCTTGCCTGTCTCAGTCACAAATATACATAGTTAGCCATAGCTTTTTGTAAAATTTCAAACTTCAATCGAATTTTTCCATCAGAGGAAAGTGTTCTAGTCATTTCCCTTTTTCTTATCCTTGGCATCATTTTTTTTCGGTGTTTTTTTTTCCGGCCATTCCCCTCCTCTCTATGTTCTCCACAATCGATGGGCTACAATATGCGCTCGTTTTTCTGAATTCTCTTCAAATTCTCCATTCCCTCATTTCCTTTCTCTGGCTATCATTGAGTTTCCCAAATTTTCCTGAATATTTTTTGGAGCCCCGAGTTTTCATAGCGTAAGCAGGGGCGCCTCTTTGCCCATTATGCATTGTATATTGATTTGATTTTTTGTGCTTTTACCAACCTTTTGAAATATAATAGAAAACTCTTTGGTTATGGCCAAGACAATAGTTTCTGTCAGTTCTGAGAGTTAAAATTGTCTATAATTGTCAGGCAACAATTAGCATTCTAGCTTTATCTTCTTGACCGGCTCTTTATAGTTCTCTGTCTACACACTTCTTCATAACCTTTTTCTATTGCAAGAAATCAAAGCAAACTTGATAATTTCTCCAGCAATTAGCATTGATTTTCTGATTTTGAAACTAGAAAAATATCAATCGTTTTCCTTTTTTGTTGCAATCTCATTCTTTAAAGCCGTCTGTTTGAGTTTCATAGTCAAGTACCAAAAAACTGAAAGTACTTACAATTTGTGAGCTTCAGCTACTGCAAAAGCTTCAGCTTCAGCTACAGCAATATATGTTCAAATCTGAAATTCACTTCATTCAGTGACAATCAGCTTCTTTGAATTTTATTATCACCAAAATACTTTTAATTGAATATTTGCAGAGATGAGCTTGGATTTCACGGTTCGTTTGTTGAGTGAGAACAACAAGAAAAGATCGACGGTGTTCTCACCAGCCGCTCTTGGATGTGCACTGGCCACCGTGCACTATGGAGCTGATGGATGGACGCAGAGAGAGTTGAATGATATTCTCTTTCGAGGTGGGTTATAGAAAGAGCTTGAGAATTAAAAGTGAGTCAAAATAATAAAAGCGCCTGACTTTTACCCAGGACATTGACCAGAATGATCACGAAGAAGCTTTTCTCTGATAGAGAACAGTAATTCAAAAATATTCGAGAAAATTTTCTTCTAAATGTTTGTCACTTTTTATTTTAAAAAATCTAAAAGAAATCAACTTTAATATCCTCTTTTAATAGCCGCATTTCCAGGCCATTCTCCTTGTGATGTCACCAAGTTTTACAGTGACATCGCCGTGGAGATTTGCCAAGAGAATCCGTACATCAAAGGTAAACAAAAAAAGAAGCAAATTGTATAAAAAGTTTTAAAAAATTATCAAATTATTTAATAAGTATTTTAGCCAAGATGATGAATCATCTACTCTTGAGGAAAGAGTTTCAAGTGAACGAAAAATGGCAGAGTGAGGTCGGTTCTCGATTCGGGGCCACGGTTGAGACGGGAAACTTCAAGGCGGCTCATGAGTTGGCTAGGGTAAGACCTTTAAAAAGCTATCAAGCTTGAGACATAGAAAATATAAGTGCTACGTAATGCATTGCTACAGAATAGCCTCTTTTCATTCTTTCCTGATATTCTAGCCTCGTCTGACTTGCTTTTGATTTAGCTTTAATTCTAAGAAACATTAACCATATATTAATCTAATCATTCTAACAAACTATAGATTCTAATCCAAACGTTTAGGCTGTGAACGAGCGAGCCCGTGCGAAGACGATCGGAAAATGCCAGGAGATTGTGTCGCCTAGCAACTTTTCCACTCCGAAAAACCTGACCTCGATTCTCATCAATTGTGCCTCATTCAAGGTGAGCCGCCGAATTTATTTTAAAAAGTTTAATATTAGAGATTTCAAAAGATATACCAAAAGATAGCTGGTTGGCGATCTCCTTCAGTGACTATCAGTTTTGGATTTGAGAATTTCATTTACCCAGCCACACCGTTGTTATATTAGCCATTTATTAATCTAATCATTCTAAAAAAACTATAGATTGAAAAAGATGAAAAAAAACGGTGCTCAGACACATTATTGAATGTTGTTGTTACTTGATAAACTGTTGCCTTTTCTGAGATGTCCCATAGTTTTGTTACAGGTCAAAACTGGATATTTGAGTACTGACACGTGCGGATTAGTTTCTGAATGCTAAAAACCTTTGTTTCATGGGTTTTTAATACCACGAAATTCAAAAAAACATAACCATTTGTCTTCATTTTCAATACAGGAGCCGAAACGCTTACTTTTGGCGGTGTCCCATAGTTTTGTTACAGAGTGTTTTAACCATATATTAATCTAAACATTCTAACAAACTATAGATTGAAAAAAGAAAAAACATAATGAAAAAAGTTTGTAAAAGAATATATCAGAATTCGTATTAAACATTTTTTATACTAGTATCAATAGCCTATGTTATAAACAAACTTAAAAAATTAGGAGCATAAATAAGAGTTATAAAGGATAGGTTTTAAGTGTAAGAAACGATTTTCTAATAAAAGTTTCAGGGTCTCTGGCCAAGAGGGTACTACAAGCCGAGATTTCTCGAATTCTACGGTGACAACGAAACAAGAAAGGTTTTATTTAGCTCATAAAGTTCATCTAAACAGTTTTAGGTATTGTTTCTTCAAAAGACGTTGAACAATGCGTTGTGCAACTTCTCGCAAGCTGGTGTTCAAGTTGTCGGGATCTCGTTCAAAGATTACAACTACAAGCTGTGGATGTTCCTGCCGGATAAGGTGAGTAATATTATAGTAGTTTGGGGCGCGACCTGCTTTAACCTTATCATCGGGGACGACTTTGCTTCAGAATAGCCGAGTAGCACAAAAAGGTTAAAAGGGTTTCCCCAAAACGCCTACAACATAACAAGAAAATGCAGCATCCAACATAATGTTAATACTCGTGATAAGAGTACAGAACGGATTGATACTTCGTCGATGGCGACACAAATGTTAGTAAGTTCTTTTTACAATGTTAAACCAGCTATCTAAAAAGGATTTAAAACCCGAAGGGTAGCATAAAGTGAATTGAATTTATAATTTTACTGTTTATTAGTACAGAACCAAAAATGCAACGGTATCCATTACAAAAACAGCATGCGCATGAATAGAAACATCAAAGTCCCCCAAGAACGAAGGTAAAAAGCCCAACCCCAACCCCAAAAAGGGCCAGAAGCTTTGCCAAAAAAACCCCAAAAAAAATTTCGGGAAGAGAGAGAAAAAAGACGAAAAAAAAATGCGACGCAAATAATTGCAAAATAGGAACGCAAATAGGAAGGAAACGGATGCGACCTAGTGAATCATGCCCCAATATTTTGCAATTAGCATTTCAAAATAGCTAACCTCAATAAGCAAAGAGTTTTTCAGAGTATTTCATTGAAAGAGTGGATCGATTCGTTGAACGCGACTTTCTTGGAGTATCTCATTGAGGGAGCCGAATGGAAGGCTTGCCATGTGAGTTTGATACGCATAAAATTTTATGCTAATAATGCCTGATATTACTCAAATAAATAAAGCAATCACTTATTTGATAGCATCTCAACTTAGAAACCTATAATTGTATCCAGCCATAAGGGTTTAGTAATAAGATTCTAAAGCAAAAGTTTATTTTAGGTGAAGTTCCCCAAGTTCAAGACGGAGAACCACATTCCGACAAAAAGGAATCTCCAGAATCTTAAATTGAATCAAATCTTCACTGAACGGGCTCGTTTGGAGAAGATCTGCCATCCATCGACGTACATCACCGACATTGTGCACAAATGTCATGTTGAGGTTGGGTTGGGAAGAAGCTAGAGTATTGGGCTAGTAAAAAAACGGGGAATTGACGAAAAATTGGCAAAAAAATCCACGGAATTCTCTTGTTTCAATGAAACGAAAAATTCGTGATGAATATTTTATGAAATCGACCTTTAACGGAGAGTTTTCCGGGTATATGGGACAAATTCTTAGGTAATGTTTGATGAAACGATTAACGTACTTAAACTAGAGTTAGAGTATTGGGTTGGGAAGAATGAAATGGCGCCGAACTTTAAAGACACTTTTCGCACGCATAAAGCCTTAAATACACGTTTTGTTTCATCAAAACGGTCCACTATTTCCGTGCACAATGACTTTTGAAAGATTCCACAAAGCTTTTCTTTGAGTAGGTGGGTAGTTCAAAGTATTCTCTACACCACTCAAAAGAAAATATCATGTAATTAGAGAGGCTGTAATAAGACTCATTGTTACTAAAGAAACTTTTCCCCAAAACAAAAACACCACCCCAAAAAATAAAAGGGGCCCCCCCCCTTACTTTTAAAAAAAATTCTCCTTATATTTTAAGGTTTTTATATATTACCTATAATGTGTAGAAGAGATTAGCTTATTGTTCATTAAAAATCTCATAAACTGACACTTGAAGAATAGCAATACAAAAAGCAACAAAAAGCATGTCTTTTTTTCAAAATTCCAACATTTCACATGGACCACTAGTCTTTTTTTTGTAAAAAATCAACTTGTTTTTAGTTTTCTAAACTTCTAAATACTTCTAAATAAGTATTCAATTACAGTTTCGCTTCTAAATATGTTTTCAATTACAGATTGATGAGGAGGGTGCAGAGCCGGTCGTTGTTCAGCATCATGCTTCCTCGGGCTCTCGTCTCACCAATGTCCGGGTCAATCCATCATGTGGTGGTGGCGGACCAAGATGTTTACGTTACGACCAAGATGGACAAGGCCAATTCGATGATTATTCGAAAGAGAACAGTCCAACTCCATTCATCAATTCTGACACAAATGTGCCCATCTTTGTGCCCCGGACATTGACACCAGCAGCTCCAAAAGTCTCCATGAAAGCCCCGAAGATTCCGATTGCACTGCTTGGGAACTGGGTGAACAATCAGCCAAAACCGGCTCAAAATGGGACTACACCTCAGGCGACCAAGCCATCCAAGTCCACCCAGCCAGTCCAATCATTTCAACCACAAAAAACAAAACAACGCTTTGGCCCATATCGTCCTCCAATTGAGGAGTTCATCGCCGACCGTCCATTCATGTACCTGATCACTTTCCGTGATAAGGTTCTGTTCACTGGTACTTATTATTAGATCCGATTTTGTGTTTCCAGTTCACTCTAATAACCATTTTCTAGAAACTTTAAACTGAACCGGAAGCCACAATCTGGTTCATTCTGTTTTTTACTTTAAACATTAATGTTCTCTTACATCGAACCTGTATATCATTATCATTTTATTGTAAATTTTATTTCTGACATTTTCTCTATAACGGTTACAACCCTCAGATGCACTTTTGTTCATTGTTCTCTACTCGGTAAAACAGTAAATACAGTATTTTCTCAATTTTCATTTAATCGAATCTCAGATTCTCCTAAATTTTACCTTAACTATCGTATCTTCCATTTTTGATCGCATTTACTTATCAATTCATTGAAAATGTCTAAAATGTGCATTTTTTTCTTTGCCAAATGGCTCAATTCTTGTCATAAACTAGCCCCTTTGTCAAATAAACACCTCAGACATTGTAAGTGTACAATGTCTCACTCAATAGTGGAGATGTCTCATTCCTATCTATTTGATGTACTTTAAAGCAGTGAATATCTATCTTTTCCCCTTCTAATTGCTTTTATATTTATAATTCTTATAATTCTAATTTCTTCTAATGCCTTCCTAACGGACATAATTTTTTTTTTTTTTTTTTTTTTTTTTTTTTTTTTTTTTTTTTTTTTTTTTTTTTTTTTTTTTTTTTTTTTTTTTTTTTTTTTTTTTTTTTTTTTTTTTTTTTTTTTTTTTTTTTTTTTTTTTTTTTTTTTTTTTTTTTTTTTTTTTTTTTTTTTTTTTTTTTAAAAATTTTTTTTTCTTTTTTTTTCTCTTTTTTTTTTTTTTTCGTTGTCCAATAGACACTTCACTTTGATTTTCTGCTAATTGAGTTTTGCCTCATCAACTTTTATTTGGTGTACTATAAGTCTGATACTGTACCTTATCTCACTTAGAGTGTTTTACTCATGTTCCTGACTAAACAAGGTTGCTTAATCCGAATCTGATACTAGCCTATCTTCGCAATTAAATGTTATAAAAGTCTTGTTCTCGTTATACCAATGGGTAATGCCCAAACTCTTGCTTTCAAATCAAGCAAGATTTTGGTTGTTAATCGTTGAGGTTATCTTCGAAGTCGATGTTCTAGGAACTTGTTTACCGTATCTAATTCAGATATATTCCATTACTTCGAGTATATTCCTCTACTTGAATTTTGCAGTACGTACTCCTTCTTATACTTAATTTAAAGCTTTTAGTGCGCCTTATTCTTAAAGTTTATCCTCAAAATCTTGTCTTCAATGTCTAGGAAACGTCACTTTTCCAATCTCTTATCTAAGCTCTTATCCAAGCTCTTATCTAAGCTTTTATCCAAGCTTTCTTGGCAGTTTATGTGATCTCAAATAATGTAAATGAATGTTTTTTCGGAGTAAAACTCAATTAAATAACTGTTGGCTTGGTTCAGAAGCAAAAAAGAAGAGAAAAAACAGTTTGACTTGAGTTTGAGTTTGATCCAGGAGACACCTCCCAACATCTCATCTATTCCTCATCGGTCGTACAAGCACATGACTTGTCTGGTGTCTCGTCACAGCTCACAAAGTCGATCAGTTCCTGAAAATTACCAGATCTAACATCAAAACATAGGCAATACAACAAAACCGCTAGCAGTGCATGGATTCATAAATACATCGGTTTTTCCTAGTCCAATTTACAAAGCTAATAAGGTTAAAGTTTTTTTCGTCCGAAATTCTAGAGAGCAGGCAAAAGCTTAGAGTTCAATTTATCAAAAAGTTTCAAGTTGTCGTTAAGCAGTTTCAATTGTGATGGGAAGTTTCAGTTATCATAGAGTCTTTATATTAGCCAAGTGTTATTAAGAGTTTATTCATAGAGATCAAAAAAGCCATAGGAAAATATAAACACAAACCATGGGAAAGCGCGAAACACTTCTTTTCTTGTTCCTCCAGCTTAGCCACTTTTCCGAGAAAATTGCTGACTGGTTATCAAGCTCGCGAACATGAGCAGATCCCTGACACAAAGAACAATTCACTTTGAAGCCAGCCTGAAATTCATAAGTTCGTGTAAAAAAAGCTTTAGAAAGAGAAAAATATATGAGAGGTATTGAAGTGATCAGTTAGTCCATCTATTTAAGATTAATATTCTATTAATAATAGGTGTTTGCTACGAACCGAGATTTGTAACACCACAAAGACCACCCGAGGCTTTTTAGTGCTTGCAAAAGTTTTAAGTGGACAAGGTTTTGCTGGTTAACTCTTATTCTAGTTATTTCAACAGAGAAGCACTTCACATCCTAGCTTTTCATGAGCATACCCTAGCATTTCTGAGCTGGAGGAACGAGAAGAAAAGTGTTTTGTGTTTTCCTATGGTTTTCTTGATCTCTATGAATAAACTTTTGGTAGCACTTGGCTAATATAAATGCTCTGTGATAACTGAAACCGTGAAAGTGAAAGCGGCGCAGCGCGCTTCTAAAGCGTAGATGCGCTACCGTAACCCGCACAAAAATTCCCCTTTTGCGATTCTTTTAATTTTCCTTCATTCCATGCTGGAATCGGAAACTTTGTCGAGTTTTTATGCCGAGTGCCGCTAAGTTTTCTCCCCCCTTCGTAAAATCTATTATATTTTTGTGGTGCGCTTTTAAAGTACTTTCTCTCCCCTCGTTCGTTCCCTCATTTTTATATTGTTTGCCCATAGTTTGTGGTTTAAAATTCTAATACGGTTTTATTTCGTTTTCTTTTCGGCTCCTTCCACTTCATTGTTTTGAATCCGCTCAGACATGCCGTATAAGCTCAACTTAACCAATTCCCTTTAACTAAAACGCAAATCTAAAAAATCTAAAATGGCGCGATCTTCTTGTTACTTCGCCTTAGTTTTCGTGTCAAATTATTTTAAAACAGGGTTGCTAAATCTAAAGGTGTTAGATAAGAGAGTTAGTTACTAACTCTAATCAGTTTCTTTGAATTTTATTGTCACTGAAATACTTTTAATTGAATATTTGCAGAGATGAGCTTGGATTTCACAGTTCGTTTGTTGGTTGAGAACCACAAGGAGGAATCGAGGGTGTTCTCGCCGGCCGCTCTCGGATGTGCACTCACCACCTTGCACTATGCAGTCGATGGATGCACGCACATATGCAAAATTTCATCGATAAAGGTCGGCAGTATTTCATAGGTTATTTTTAAAACGGGTACAGGTTTCTCTCATGTATACTTTTTGAGAAATTGCATTTTTGCGATGCGCCATTACTTATGCATACACTTAATATTTACGGCAGAAGTTTTCTGCCTGCAACGTTTAAGTAATTGCTCAATGAATTTAATTCGTCTCTGTTTTCCTTCTTTGTATAAGTCCTTTCTATTCACGAATTTTCTTGCTCAACGGGGAAAAAGCGGCAAAGATAGCCTTTTTGAAATTTATTTTGCAATCAAAATAACATCGATCGATTCATTTCGGGCGTCCCCTTTGTGCATCGTACATCCGCAAATTACGGCTCTCGGTGCGGTGTGCGATTCGCCCCCTGCACATATTTTTCTTTTGGACAATAATGAAATTTTTGGGGTTATGCAATTTTATGCTGTTTGTTGCCCGGGCGTGCTCGGCGCTCCGCCCTCCCTCTCCGGTGCTCGTCTTTGGCCCTCCCTGGCCTCTTCATCCGGCCAAGTCCACGTCGACGGTCGAAGAGTGCTTTCCAGCGTCTTCTTCAACACTATCGTCTGGTGTATCCATGCACATAACAAATAGCAATGGTGATAGGCTGCACCCTGTAGTATCCCGCCCCAAGAACAATAATAAGTTTATATAACAATAAAATGTATAAAACCCAACAAAAGTAATTCAAAGCAATAAAGCGATGAATTAGGCAGAACTTATACTCGGATGAACTTATACTCGAGACTTTAGGGTAACAATAACAAACAAACAAACAACTTTAACCCTTCTCATCACTGGTTTTGCTCTTTCTTTCAACTACTTTGCAGTCTAATCTCTCATATCAAACAACGTCAAGCATTTTTGCTTTCATTGATTCCTCCAAGTTTCATTTTTTCCAATAATTTTGACTTTATTTTCGATCTTTCCCTTCTTCCTTACTTTTCCGTTCTTTTTCTTTTACCAAAAAGCGTATACTTTTCAACCTTGCGCGCCAGTTTCCTACTGAGGTTGGCTAGGCTGACGACAAACCTGACTATGATTAGAGCCGAAACAGGATCACTATAAAGTTAACTACCACTTACAATTATTTCTTATACTTTCTCCTTCAACTTTTCTTGTATTACTTCTCTTATTCTCCTTTCTTGTCTGGGAAAACAAGAGTCGAATAGCTCGGGTTGAGGTTCATTTCACCATTTGAGAATGATAGCATAAGTTTTTTTGAGACCAATATTTAGCAAATCTTTCAGATTTGGACTCAAGGTTAAACTCTACACTTATGGATGTATTTTTATAAAATTTGGCTCAGCTCTTTTCTCATAACTCGACTGGGAGCCAAAAAGCTCAAAATTTCGAAAATTGTGAACAAAATCAAAGCTTTCGAAAAACGACTTAACCAAATGTTATGGAAAGACACCTATAAGTGTAGAATTTAACTCTGAATCCGAACCTGTAATCAAATTCGACAAATATTGCTTATGCAAGAAAACATGTGCTACCATTCTGCAAAAGCGCGGCGAAATGAACAGTTCCCAATAGCTCGATGGGTGGAAGAGCTGCCCGGAAAGCGGAAGGTTGACGGTACAATCCTCCTCTCCAAATCTTTTTTCCCAAAATTCCTGCTTTCTTTTCTTTAATCTATTCAGTAAAACAAATTTAGACTAGTCCAAAAGATGCAACGAAGAGCGGAGACGACTCGTGACAAACGCAACTGCTATGTCAAGAAATTCGATCATTTGTCGAAGAAGTTGCAATTGTCGAAGGCAATGCAGACACGATTCAAGCTCATCCCCGATAGGATGCTGAACAGTACCACGGTGGCCGGGATTCGGGACACGACTCTGGGAAGAATTGGAGCAGATGGGAACCCTGCTGGTAAGTTAATGGTTCGCCTATTTTGCACTGAAAGAGAACTGAAAGGAAATTGACCACGTAAATTTTCCAGTCTGTGCAACGTTGTGAATTTTTCAGGTGGAAACGTCATTCGATTCAATAATCCAAGTCCAGGCACACGATCGGACTTTTCTCGAATTTGCATCGATCCAAACGGTGTTTCGAACAGGGCCAACCCGCACATCCCAGTCCCACAGGGCGCCGTCAATGCTGCGGCTAAAACCCAAAAAGTTTTAAAGGTTGGTGACGAGAAATCCAGGAAAACCTATACCCAATATTCAGGTGACTGGGAAAGTGTTGCTCGTTGTCTCGATAGTGGCCTCTGGTATCCGAATCGCCAAATCGATTTACGATGAAATCGACATCGACAGCGAAATCGAAGGCCTGGAGCACATGATCGATTGCTTGGAGGAGGATTTGAGAGGGTGCTCCCCAAATGAGATGACTGACAAAAAAAGGCACGCGACTTCGCTAAAATCCTTCTCGAAGACGCCCACGACTGCAAGCGCCACCCTGGGAAAAAAACGATTCTCACGGGTCTGTGCATCGGTGGAGAATGGATTGGAGGAGCGGCTCTAGGATATGCGGGTGCCCAGGGAGGAGCAATGGTTGGAGCCGTTGGAGGCCCTGTGGGTGCCGTGGCTGGAGCCGTTGCTGGCGGTATGCTTGGAGCGGTTGCTGGATCGGGATTGGGCGCGTCCATCGTGCAGAACTTTCGCTGCGATGACGACGGTATTGCCACCGAGTTGCAAAGTTCACTGATCGACTTTGGTGAGAAAGAGCGTGGCGAGGTCCTGCCCATTGAGGGGAATTTCTTCCTGGGCAAGGGTGTGGAGGTCGGAGCACGAGCAGCCCTTTTCGAGATGAAGAACGAAGGGAGCGACAATAGCTTGTCTTACGGAAAAGTGGGAGCCAACGCCGGTGTCAGCAACAAGGGACTCGATGTCGGTGTAGAAGGCAAAGTGATGTGGGTTGAGGAAGAAACGGTCAATGGAAGAATGGGCGTGGGCCTGAATGTGGACACAGGAGTGCAAGCAGATGAACACGGTGTTCAAATGTCGGTCCTAGGCTTTGGGTTTTCTGCACGCGATGACGGCTTTGGCATTAAACTTCCTTTTTTCAACTACACCTGGAAATAGTGATCATTTGTTGCTACCATATTTTTATTATAAAGAACGTTTGGCATTTTCTTTGTGTATGTTTTCCAGGCTTTTATGGAATAAAGTGTAAATTACTAATATTCAATACTACTTAATATTCAAACTTCTGTGTTATGCTCGTCAGATCGAGTCACTCGTTTACCTAATTTCTTTGACCAAAGAGTTCTTAACAAAATTTAGTAGGAGTAAACGAGGCAAGCGTTCGCTCTTTGAAGTTTGCGACAACCAAACGTGGAAGCAAGCAGGTGAGACTATGAGAGGAACTAATGCCTATCGTTTTTTAGGATTTTAAAGGAATCTGTGGAGAATGACGTCCTCAGCTGATTGGAGTTGGAGCTCGGTGCTAGATGGATACAAAGAGATCAAATTGAAACCGAATGTTCACTGTATCGATGTGCTCGGAAACAAGCAGCAAACTGGTGACACGAATACAGAGTGGCGACGGCTGGGCGAACGGGTTGCTCAATACATCGACGTCCATCAGCAGAGCGCCGTCCTCGTTTCTACGATGAAACTCGAACATTTTCTTGTGAACGAGCAGAGGGATAACCCGGACTATGGTAACTCTGCTGGCTTTGAGCACGAAGGGAGACGTTATACTGTGACATCATTGGCCTCGACGCAAATCGATCAGATTCTACCTGATGTCTTCGAAAGCGAAGAGTTCGTCTTTGGACTGAATGCCTGGTTGTGTTTATTCGAAGGACCGGAGTCCTCAGCCCAAATGCTATGTCGAGAGGAAGACACACCGTTCGTTCTTGAGACAAAACGAGTCATTTCGAATTTGAACGTTCTCACGGAGGTCGAGCTCAGCCTCGAGTGGCTCATGGCCGGCTCGGATGGATGTGAGCTGTTGTGGTACAATTTGAGAGTCTGAGCACCTCTTCATGTCTCTTTCATCAATTGTTCATCATGCTTTTTCTCATTCTCCCTCATTCATATTAATCTCAACGGTAAATAAACCTTTACAATCATGTTATTGAGTACCAAAATACAATACAACATTTTTATTTGAGTCGCACGTAAGTCACCTTAAGAAACATAGTAATTAATTAACAGAAAAAGAAAAAAAAAAAAACAACCAAAACCCCCCACAAGAGGAGGATTAGGTTATTTACTTTTTTCCTTTTTTATTCTTTTTTTTTTTTTTTTTTTTTTTTTTTTTTTCTCCTTTTTTTTTTTTTTTTTTTTTTTTTTTTTCTTTTTTTTTTTTTTTTTTTTTTTTTCCCTTCTCTCCTTTTTTTTTTTTTTTTTTTTTTTTTTTTTTTTTTTTCTTTTTTTTTTTTTCTTTTTTTTTTTTTTTTTTTTTCTTTTTTTTTTTTTTTTTTTTTTTTTTTTTTTTTTTTTTTTTTTTTTTTTTCTTTTTTTTTTTTTTTTTCTTTTTTTTTTTTTTTTTTTCCTTTCTTCTTTTCCTTTTTCTTTTTCTTTCTTTTTTTTCTTTTTTCTTTTTTTTTTTTTTTTTTTTTTTTTTTTTTTTTTTTTTTTTTTTTTTTTTTTTTTTTTTTTTTTTTTTCCCCCTCCTTTCCTTTTTCTTCTCTTTTTTTTTTTTTCTTTTTTTTCTCCTCCTTTTTTTTTTTTTTTTTTTTCTTTTTTTTTTTTTTTTTTTCCCCCCCTAGCGTCGCGGAACTTCGGTTTCTATTTTGTGGGAAGCTGTCCTGAGGGAAATGCCCCTGTCTAGGCCCTCTATCCAACAACACCAACCCCAGCTTATTTTACCCACAGGCGGCTGAGATCTGAAGCGTCACAGACAGAAGGACGGACAAAATGGCACACAGCGATACAGTAACTGTTTTGAATAATTCATTTTTCTGTGAAAAACACGGGTATATTGGTTCATCCCAGGTACAACCCTATGAATAAGCTTATTATCTTGTTCATGTTGTAAATAGGGATTTCAAAACACTTTTGAAAACACGATTTTTGATAGCTTTATTTGAATATTTACATAGGTTCACAAGAGCAAAAGGGCAAAGCAGACAGGCAGGAGAGCCGATATTTTTCAATCGCCGAAATCAACAATGGGGAATTATTTCGCCAGAGAAACTCGTCGAATGTACTATGTGAGTAAATTTTTCCCCCGATTCTCCCCAGAAACACTATATAAATGACCGGAATTCCCACTTTCAAGAGGAAAAATGAAACTTCTCATCGTATTCTGCTTCATATTGGCTCTAGCCCTGGCTCAAGGGGAAGATAAGAAGAAAAGTTGGTTTAAACTGGTACTATTCTTATATTTTGATAAGATTCTTGGATTTATACTTTATATTGGGTTGGTGAATTGAAAACTGCCGGACTTTGAACTAAAATTTATTGAACATAAAACCATGAATTCATTCCAAATAATTTCCATTATTATTGACGACTTCTGCCCATTTTACAGGCAATTTGCGGATTCCTCTTTCGTAGTAGGATTTTGGTTTGTGTGCGAGACAAGTGTGAGACTCAAAAATCGAGGACTGGAGATGTCCCAGTTTGAGCACTTTCTTCAAAAGAAACCCATTTTGATGTCAATAGAAAAGTTGTAGAGAATCAAAAATTGGGCTTATAGCCAAATTTCCAAAAAGATACACTTAGTAGTTTCGCTTAAAATGCAAGTTTTGTGAAAATTCGTAAATTTCGCATTTCTTGAAAACCAGTTTTTGAATCGTTCTGAAAATTTGGACATAAGCTTGATTTTTGATTCTCTACAACTTTTCTATTGACATCAAAATGGGTTTCTTTTGAAGAAAGTGCTCAAACTGTCACATATGACAATAGCCCGCAGTTTTCAATTCACCAACCCAATATATTGAATAACTAGAATATGAATATAAATAATATTAATTTTAAATGTACAATTTTCCCTACCCAAGTTTCCCCATTCGAGTACACGTTATTGAGTTTAAATTATCCATAAACGTTGTTTCTTTCTAACAATAGAGTCCCCAACACGAGCCATTTAGAATTTTGCTTTGGAAAGCGTTTGCTTCAAAGAAAATCGTTCCTAGTGAAACAGAAAAAAAAACCTATCCTATAGGAGACTGAGATTAGCTTCAAACTAGCAACCTGTGCGGTTCACCATTTCTCTTAGCTTTCTTGGCTTTTCAATAAAATGCTTGCCAATTTCTCCTATTTTCATCATTCCTTTCCAGAGTCCCGTCCGCCACTCACCTGTGCGAATGTTCGCTGTGCCGAGGGCCCCTGTATCGAGACGCCAACTGGGCCAAAATGCACGACAATGAGCACGACAGAGCGTCCAAATGAAAATGGTGAGTGACGGAATTGCGAAAAATTAGATAGAAGAAAAGTATATTCAACATCTCCCTTTCAAAACTTGTTTGCGTGTGCTGTCTGGTAAATTTCTCGGACATCGAAAGTTTGTGTGCACAATAAAAACCATTTCCCTATCGAATCCATAGAATTTTAAGCTCAACTCGCTGAATGATTTCAGAATGTGGTGAGAACGAGCACTGGGTTGGGCCGTGTGCTTCTCGCTGTGAGGGAACTTGCGATAAACCCGTCCCCACTGTGAGTTTCTTTGTCAGAACGGAAAAAAAAGAGTGGCTTTTAATAGTCGTATAGGCAAGCAAAACTTGCTAGGTCAAGCTAACAGCTAACAGCTAACAAAAGAAGCAAAAGGATCTTAAAACAATAAGATCTAGCAATCGGCGATTGAAACTTCTTAACCAAAAGAAAAACTTTTTTAACACTCAAAAAGTGGCCGACAACACTTTAATTGATGAAAATTTCAATATTTTACCGGAAACAAAAAAATTAAATTAAATTAAGTAGAAAATAGTAGAGAAAAATGTATTTAAATTGGTGCTTTCGTTTTAAAGAAATTCCATTTTGAAAACTACGATAGGAACGATATTGGAACGATATTGGAACGATATTGGAGCGATATGGAAACCATATTGCAACCATATTGCAATCATATTGCAATCATATTGCAACCATATTGCAACCATATTGCAACCATATTGCAACCATATTGGAACCATATTGCAACCATATTGCAACCATATTGCAACCATATTGCAACCATATTGCAACCATATTGCAACCATATTGCACCATATTGCACCATATTGCACCATATTGCAACCATATTGCAATCATATTGCAACCATATTGCAGCCATATTGCAACCATATTGCAATCATATTGCAATCATATTGGAACCATATTGCAACCATATTGCAACCATATTGGAACCACATGGGAACCATATTGCAACCATATTGCAACCATATTGGAACGATATTGGAGCGATATGGAAACCATATTGCAACCATATTGCAATCATATTGGAACCATATTGGAACCATATTGCAACCATATTGGAACCATATTGGAACCATATTGGAACCATATTGGAACCTAATAGCTAATAGTTGCACTCAATCCTCATAGCTCAAGTCGTATCCCCCAAATCAGCCATATTCTTCCTGTGTTTCCTATCCAATACCCCTATTTTCCTCTCTTTAGGTGTGCACCATGGAGTGTTTCCAAGGTTGTAAGTGCAAGCCGGGTTTCGTCCGTCAGGCCGGCGAATGTATCCTCCTCACTGGTTGCCCGAAAAAAAATGACTAACCAAAGTTGACTAAACTTTTCCTTTTTTGCTGTCTGTAAATAAATACATCTTGCAGATGACTAAAAGCTTTGCGATGAAGCAAGCTTCCGAGCTTTTGCTATTAGACCCGGTTATCGGTTTTGACATACTCTTGAACCGAATAGTTAAACAGCAACTTAATTCACGGAATTCTAGTTCAATAGATAATCTAGGCCTACTCTATAACCAATCCAGCTATAATTTCTTCTATAATATTAAGTTAGCAACTAGCAACTAAAATTTGTATATAAGCGATTTTTCTGAGTATACAAAAAAATGACATTGCCTGTTATATATTATTTAATAGCTTGAATCAATGCCAACAGTATCCGCCAGAGACAATGATTGATGCTTGAAATGATTGATTCAACTTTAGGGTACCTTTAACTTGAGCTTTTCGCGGTTTGAAGTGATGAGAATTTTGAATTAGCTGAATTAGCTTACACAAATTAGCTGACAGTGTTCTTCCCTTTCTGATTCTGTTTCTGGAAATGATTGATTCTGGAAAAGAAAATAGAATTATGGATTTTTATTTTGCGCAAAAAAATTGATAGTCTAACTGTGAAATTGAAAAGAAATGGAGACAGATCAATTGTTTTAAAAACTCTTCTCAATGCTAAGCAAATTGTTCTAGAGATTTACGAGAGATAATCGTTCTAGAGATTTTACAGATTTTCATTTTTAGATCTGCACAAAAGAATGCTTCCAAGGCTGCAAATGTGAGAAGGGTTACGTTCGTTTCGGATTCGCTGGCAAATGCATCAAATTGACAGACTGTCCAAAGACGATCAAGCCTACTGTGTAAATTCTTTCTTTAAATTGTATTTTAACTGTCTGTACAATGAATTTCAGCAAAAAGTCACTAGTTTTCAAAACTTTATTGCGAGTAAAAAAACTGGCAAATCAACCAATTTGATGAAAAAAATGAAAAAATGAAAAAACGAGCATTCGAGTCAAGAACTACTTAGACTTATGTGAACACACCGCCAAAGCTGAAGGCGAATTTCTGAGCGATTATTTCATGCTGTTAGGCGCTTTTGTTGAGGATTTTCTAGATTACTCATTCGTATTTTTAACAGGCTTGTTCCAAATGACGTCATAGGCCCGGAAGCACGTTTTAGAAAACAGTATCGGCTTTGTAAAGCGTGGATACAGTGACTTTACAGCGTCGAGAAAGCAGACAATGTTTCCAAAAACATGCTCCCAGACCTATGACGTCATTTAGAACAAGCCTGTTTTTTTTGTTAACAAGAAATCTCAATTACTCACACACTCATTTTCGAGCCAAGCAAATGCTGATTTTCAACAAGCAGCGTCACAATGAGCGTCACAATAGGTTTTTGGTAACAAATCTCTTTTTAAATTTAAAAACAAACAAACAAACAATCCAATACAATAGGAAAAGCCTACTTGTTTGTACAGGATGGCTCAAAAGTACTGTAAAAGGGAATTTCTGTAACTTAATTATATTTTCTGTATGGGATGGGTTGATGGTAGTGTATACAATGCCATCCACTTTTATATTTATGGCTTCGTAATACTGAAATTATGGTCATTTGATTCACGTTTCTATATGCTAAACTAGTTTATTCAATAGCATTTTAGTAATAAGGAAAGTTATCAAGATCCAATTATTACCGGAAGCGTGAAGAGGAACAATACAAATGCAAGGACTTTCATCCTCGAAGCAAGTAAAACTTTGGGGAAATCTCGGCAAAAGCTCTCTTTTATGCGGTCCGGTATAATCGGATTCGATTTTTAACGGTCCACTTCCAAATTTAGATACGTGCCTCTTAATATTCCATTCGGTAGAATCGGTTTCTATTTCTAACAGTCCGTTTTACTTGCTTGTCAACCCTTTCTGTAAGCTTACCAATAGCTTTTCTGTAAGTCAATAGCTTTTTTGACTCGGGCACGGATCTGGTTGTGAAATTTTTTTTGCTTTCTTTTGCTAAACCTTTAAAAACACTTTTTATTTATTTTAGAATTAGAATCCCCAATAATAATTTTGAAAACAGATGACACTCAAAAGCTCGGAAAATGGACAAAAAGTGCTAACCTAGTTCTGATCTTTATTTTCGGAGTCTTTGACTGTTATCTGTTCTTAAAAAATATTATTGGGCATTCTAAAATAAATAAAAAGTGTTTTTAAAGGTTTAGCAAAAGAAAGCAAAAAAAATTTTAAATTTTACGAGTAGAGTCATCTGTTGGTCATCTGTTATCTGTTGGTCATCTGTTATCTGTTGGTCATCTGTTATCTGCTGGTCATCTGTCATCTGTTGGTCATCTGTCATCTGTTGGTCATCTGTCATCTGTTGGTCATCTGTCATCTGTTGGTCATCTGTTATCTGTTGGTTGCAGACATGAAATCCACGTATACGTGAAATCGGACTTTTAATTTTCTCTATTTCACCATAAATCTACTTACTTTTTTGTTTTCTTTACTTTGTTTTAGTCTATTTAATACTTTCATCAAATTTTCAGAGGGCATTTTTGACTCTCGCCCATTTCAGAACTTGAACTCGAAAATGTTTGGGTTTTTGAGGGCGAAAACCCATCTGTAGCTTTTTTTCTAGCGTCAGAAAGAAAGCCTTCTTTTTGCTGATCTTTTTTTGAATATGGATATGGATACGATACGAAACTCGATCGACCAACTTCCGAGGCGGTTGGCTATGGCCAAAATTCAAGGAGGAGTGATCGAAAGTGGACAAATTCCTAAGAACGTGAACAAATTCCTAAGAACGTGAACAAAAAACACCAATGAAACATTTGAATTCTGATTTGAATTTTTCGCTTTGCAATTTCCATGTTATTTCTAATTTGTATTTTTATTTTTCATAGCCAATGGACTCTTCTTTGCATTGTGTGGCTCCATCTACAGTCCTTCAATTTATTTGAATATTTTTATATAAATAAAGTGTAATGCTTTCAATTAAAGGTTTCACATTCATTACACTTACAGATAAACAAGTAATGGATTCTTTTCAACATCTTCTTTGTATATTTCACTTCCATCACCTAGATGGCTGTCTTTTTTATAGAGGACAAAAAAAATGGATTCCTAATTGTTTTGTATTGACGCTCGATGTATGGCTATTGTTCTAGGAAAGGCTAAATTTTCTAGAACTTGCCCAAGGCTAAATTTCCTAAATTTGCCCAAGGCGCCATGAAGAGTGAACAATCGACAGGTGATTTTCTGACCTGTTTTTGACCCCGTATCCCACCCCCTTTGCCATACTCGTTTCTTTTTTGTGACTCTTACTACTTTCTGGATTGCACATGTATATTCCACTATTTTTGCTCTCATTTATTATCGATGCAGCATGCATTTCAAATGGAATCAATGAAGTGGAAGTGCTTTCTTCACAAAGTCCATCCACGAACCACGTGAAACGTTGGTTTCTTTCGAGATTGACGATTTTCGATGAAAATACTTAGGCTTACTACGCTATAGACTTGTTAACGAGGCTTAACAAGGCTTTAAGTTTGATCAAGGTAACGTGGTAGACATGGCTAGCGATATTTTGGGGTTGCTCCCTTTCGGACACTCATATCAGCGCACTGAAATTTGCTACCAATCTGAAACTTTTTCTATCAGCAGGCCTAGATTATCAGCCTCATTTTGAGACTAAACACTTAACAAAAATTTTCAAAAAAGTACAAAAAAAGATTATTTATACTGAATTACTTAATTTGTAGAATTTTTATTATCAAGATGAAGCTAACAATATTGGCTTTCTGACAAAAAAAAGTTTTAGATTGCTAGCAATTTTCAGTGCGCCGATATGAGTGTCCGAAAGGGAGCAACCCCAAAATATCGTTAGCCATGTCTACCACGTTACCTCACACCCTTCCAAAGAGGGTGTGAGGTTTCGTAGTAGAAAGAAAACCTCAAGCAAAGGGAGATAAAACACACTCCTCATTTTTACAGAGCTTTTACCTCATCAATCTCATCCACACCGTGAGCTGTTCCCTCGAATCGCTAGCTGGAAGCTAACCGCTGAAGACCAAAGACATTTGTTTGGACCCGCGTGTTTAGTGAGTTCATATACCGTATTTTCTTTAATCATATTGCGCCATATACTGCAGGGTGTTCAGAAAAATGTTCCCCATTTCAACTCAAATTTCTGGAAAAGTTTAAGTGACTCAAGGTGTTGTCTTGGTGTTAAAGCTGTTTTTTGACGTCGCAATTTTTCGACTTTTTTCGAGATTTTCCTACCGTAAATACTGTAATTGGACCCCATGGGGTGCTATTTTTTCCCTCCCCCTCTAGGGTGGGGTACTATTAGAGGGTGGGGCACTATTAGAGGGTGGGTCACTATTTTACACTACTATTCAAGTTACCAAATCAGGATACATTCAAATAATTTTTTCAAAAGCAAACTTTTTCTTTAGTTTTTATTGGTTTTAACCATTTGAGCAGCAAAACGAAACAAAAACAACTAACAAGCGAAATCAATAGAAACATCCGAATCAATGAATTCATCATTTTCTTGATCATCAACTCCTCGATGTCCTTGAAATCCCGTCGATGCGAGCGGCCCCAAGAGGTCCTCGATTTCCGTCTATGTCCGATTTCCGTCTATGTCCGATTTCCGTCTCTGATCTCTAACACCAACTTCTTTGGCTCCAACCGCTTCGATGCACTTGCTCGTCGAAGCATCCAACCAAACCGCCGTCTCATCGCAAGCAACAATGTGCTTGTAATCGCCTTCTTTGATTGTCTTGTTCAGCCTCAGAATGTGCTCGACGATGGCCTTGTCAAATTTGCTCGGCAGCTTCTGACAAGTTGTTGTTGGTGCCCTCAAAGAAAGTTGGTGACGCCTCAATAACGACTCCATCCAGCCATGGGTTCTTTTGAAAGAAATTTCAGCTTTTTTGAATCGATTAGCCGCTTCATTCCAGATAATCCGGCGTGTCACTCGTTTCTTCTCGCCTCGACGATCCCGTATCCATTCAGCCAAACCGATATCAATCCCCTCCGAGTTCAAGTGGCTTCTAAGTGGTTCAAGTCTTCTAAGTGGGCTAATCTTTATGATTTTGGTGTTACTTTGTTGCACTTGTTGAGATCTACAATCATAAAGATTGGCCCACTTAGAAGAAGTGGCGGCTCGCAATTTTTCGAGTTTTTTTGAGATTTTCCTAGTTACATGTGATTTGTAACGGTCCAGGAGATGAGCCTTGCTTTCGTTTTTTTTTCCATTCAACTCCCCAACCATCTTACAGTTAGTTTTGGCCTTCATTGTGGTCCGACTACGAAAAGTTCCGGATTCTCCACTCCACGAAAAGTTCCGGATTCTCCGCTTCATGAATCATGGAGAATCCGGAACTTTTCGTAGTCGGACCACAATGAAGGCCAAAACTAACTGTAAGATGAATGGAAAAAAAAACGAAAGCAAGGCTCATCTCCTAGACCGTTACAAATCACATGTAACTAGGAAAATCTCGAAAAAACTCGAAAAATTGCGACGTCAAAACAACAACTTTCACACCAAGACACCACCTTGAGTCACTTAAACTTTTCCAGAAATTTGAGTTGAAATGGGGGCTTTTTTTTGAAGACCCTGTATTTTCCAACTCCCTCTCACACCGTCATACTAATAAAAAGTTCTAGCATTCTAACCATTGTTACTGTGGGGAACCACTTTTGTCCACTTGTTTTTGATTAATTTCCCATTTAAATTCTATTAAGGTAATCGATTATACTGACAAGGGAAGGTCAACCGGGTGTGGTGACCAAATAACACGAGCCGTAGACCACTCGACGCAGAATTTCACGCTGATTCCGAATCTGCGTTCCGTTTTTGCAAAAATCATCCCTCGACTTTATAAGCAGATTCCCCAGGCACGTTAAGAAGCAGTGGTGGTCAAGTGGCAGTGGTTTAGAATGCAAGGCCAACCCTCTCTAGTTTGAATCGGGCGTTCAAATTTTTTCTTTTGCTTTTTTAGATTTCCAAAGTTAATTGTTCTCCGTTTCAAATACAAGTTTATTTTAAACTGCTTCTCATAGGATGAGGGATACTTTTTAACACCAGAGGGATAATTTTTAAAATTCCATACAAAACTTTACACGCTTATAACTTTTGATGGAGCGCTTCGTTGCAAAAACGGAAAGCAGATTCGGAATCAGCGGAATCAGCGGAATACAAAAACGGAGCACTCTATCAAACCCGATTCAAACTAGAGAGGGTTGGCCTTGCATTCTAAACCACTGCCACTCGGCAGTTTCAGAAAACTTGTATAACTCTTATAAATGTCATGTCAACCTCGATTACCTCAGAAAACGTAGAAAGGGTGGGGTTCGTAAAATACTCTAGTACCGGTATATTTTGCGAACGTGCTATCACTTATTAAGACTTGTTATGCACAACATATACCCAACATCTATTTGTTAGAACCCAGCGACTCAGCTAAGCACTTATAGAAGGTTGTTTCCTGTTTCCAGAGCGCCGTTTTTCGGACATCGTTTTGGCAAGACCATGCCGAGTGGCTTCACCTAGTCGAGGTGACCAACTGGATTCAATTGTGTGCCATCCGAGAGGCGTTCGATCTCGCCGAACAGGCACCCAATCCGTTGGGACTCGTCGTCGAGCGGCCGATTCACCCGAGTGGGTCCCCACAATTCGCCTCGAACAAAAGTGCCAAGTATTTTCAACTGACGATCTTCTCGATGAGTAGAGATCTATCGGGATACCGAAATCCTCACTGGGAGGTTCCGTTGGAGCACGATCGTCGCTACATGGCCGCCAGATACCTACGTCGAAAATTCCCGGAAATCGGAGCCACTTTTCGGGCAAAGTTGCGAAAAATCAATACAAGAGTTGCCGTCAACTCTACCATAATTGATCATGCCGTCGACGAGGCGCACGACGTGTCCAACGAATTATTTTCAGCCCTTCAGAGGGCCCACAAGATGGTAGGTTCACTAATAATGAGCCTTTTCTAATAACTAATAAATCCACTAAACACAGTTTTATAACATTCAGCAAAAAAAGATAATTTCAAATAGTTTTGAAAAAGTTTTAAAGCTTATTTTGCGTTTGCAAGGCGCCACCGCCCTTTGATGTTCATGCTAGACATGGCTAACGAGAGTTAACTAGACAACCTCATAGATTTTCATAGAGACTTCTAAAATGCCTGAGTTTTATTATCTTGGAAAGCTGGTGTTTTTAGCTTTCATTTGATACCAAATATTCACCCACAACTTAAGACAATCCCTTGAAAAATCTTGCCAAAGCCTTGGATAGATGGTTTGTCTCGATCAGAGAGGTGCGTTAACGAGACAAGTTACAGTACTGGACGATGAAATATCATATTTGAAAAAAGATCGTCACTTTCGCGCGTCTGTAACTCCCTCGTCTTTGAGTTTAAACTATTAGTGTTGTACATTTTCTGAAAGCTCTTTTCAAGGGCTACACAATGGTAATATTAATATTTAGATACGATAAAGACAAGGGAGTTGCAGGCACGCGAAAGTGATGATATTTTTTCAAATATGATATTTCATTGTTCAGTAGTTTATATGTCATAGCCGTTTACGAAATTCAGCCGCTAACGAATGAGGGTATTTCCGGGCATCCAATCAAAAAGTCACCCACATAAAAAATGTTCATAATACATATATTTTATAATAAATTTTTGAAATTAGCTCATTTGGTTCAGTAGAAAATTTTTGGCTATAAAAATGGCTATAAAAAATTTTCCACTCAGCCAAAAAACTTGCCTAATAGCTCATTTTGTAGCCAATTTGATGTAGATTCTCAAAGTAAAGCTACATTGAACATTTGTTTTTCAAAGCTAGGAGAAAGAGGGCGAGGAATGACTTCAGTTGAACTCGGTCGCTGTTTTCACATTTGAGAATTGCCCTGAGATTGTTTCTCACCCTCTTTCTCCTACTTTCAACGAAAAATTGTTTCGTGTCTCTATGAAAATCTATGAGGTTGTCTCGTTGACTCTCGTTATCTCGTTATCTCGTTATCTCGTTATCTCGTTATCTCGTTATCTCGTTATCTCGTTATCTCGTTATCTCGTTATCTTTATCGTTAGCCATGTCTAGTTCAAGCCCAAAGACAGACCTTTTCGGCAGACAAGTCATCAGAAAAAAAAGAGTTGAAACCGCTCTAAAACTTCAATAAACATATCTTAAGACTAAAATAGACTTAATCAGAATCAGAATGTGTATTGTAAAAGCCCATAGTGTAAAAAACTAGTGCTAAAACCCAACATAGTTACGTCCGACGACTGAGAGTCAAAACAGCGTCAGCAACTACGATAATCCGGAATATCTGGCACAGCTCGAGCGACTTCGCTTTGCTGTTCCCACATGCAACCATCGTTCCGGACAGTCAGAACAGTCAGAACAGTGGCAGTTTGCGAAACGTGAGTTTGGGTGTTCACACCTAAAAAGGCGGAAACGAAGTAAGACGAAGAAGTTCCAGTAAGATATTAGGTGTGTGAAAAAGTAATCCACGTTTTTAACGTTTAAATATAAAAGACCACAAGTTTCGTTAAAATAATTTTTATTCAACGAAGTAATCACCATTCGAAAGACCAACCTTTTGCCAACGTTCTACAAGTAAAGACATTCCACGATAATAAAAATCTTGGTCCTTAGAGGCGAAGAAAAGATAGACCTCGGCTTTGACATCTTCTTCGGAATTAAACCGTTTATTGGCCAAAAAGTTAGACAGAGACAATAATAAATAATAATCAGATGGAGAAAGGTCTGGACTATAAGGTGGATGTGGTAAAACCTCCCATCCAACACTCTGGATTTTTTGTCGAGTCTGTAAAGAGACATGTGGTCGCGCGTTATCGTTCATGCGGTATCCATTTGTCCAACTTTTTGATAAAATTCATGGCATTTAAGCGTTTCCTTACGGTTGACCCATCACAATTTAATGTAAGGCCTATTTCTGAAGAGGTTGAACGAGGGTTTTCGAGAAGACAGCGTCTCATTTGGTCATCAGATAAAAATAAAAAACGTGGATTACTTTTTCACACGCCTAATATTTCCCAGATCTAAAGTATTTAGGAAGACAAATTTATCAACTTTTTCAATTTTTCATGAAACTCTTCATAACTTTTGCTACATATCTCGTGGTGCATTTATCATGGCGTTACTTTAGATCACTTTGTCAAGACGGACGAGGTGCGTCCATTTGACGGTGAATCGGAGAAACTACGCAAAGAGGTTTACGACGAGATCGCCCAAGCAAATTTCACCTCCGACGATTTGGTGCAACTCTACGGACCCGAGTCATCTCGCAATTGCGAGGTTGGTTTTGAATAGAAAAGTTCAATATGGAAGCTATTTTTACGGTAAATCTACTATGTATTAGGTTGGTGCAAATGTCGGCGACTTTACCATCACCTAACTCTCTCATTTCACCATAGAATTCGCTCATTTTTTTTGCTATTATATAATCTACTATATCTAAAAGAGAAGTGTCCGTCACACTCTGGATCTCGGCTCCCCGTGAACCGATTTCGTGAAACTTTTTTTTTGATCGATAGGGAATGAAAAATGATTAGGTACATCCTTTTTCGTCGAAACAAGTTTTCCATTAAAAACCCGCCAGAAAATCAGAAAAACCTCGAAACCACGCCCCTTTTTTGCCTTTGTCTTTGGGTGGCCGGGGTGGTTAGCGTCCCGTCTACAAAACGACCGCCCCAAGAGGGTGCCGGGTTCGATTCCCGTCCGCTCCAAACTTTTCGCGTTAAATGTTAACAAGCATGGGGTTGAAGTATGCAACTTTGAGTTGCCTCGCAACGAAGGTATTGTTGCAGGGGTCTCGGAGGGACGCGAGGCATTAGGACCTAATGTTAGTCGCGTCGATTGTCCCAGTATAGATGTCGGTGTTGCTTCAGATAGTATCAGGGTGGGTCAATGTTGCTTTGAAGGATTAAGAGATAGATTTCCGTATTGTTATAGGGGTCTCGAAGGGGGAGCAGGAAGGAAGGGGAGGGGTTTGAGAGATCAAACGCAAAGTTTGATCTCTCAAACGATCAAACGCATAGTTTGATCAAACTATGCGTTAGCCCCAAAACACCCAGTCAGAAAAACCCGTCGTTAGGCGGGTCTTTCGGGCATTTTAGAAGTCTCTATGAAAGTCTATGAGGTTGTCTAGTTAACTCGCGTCAGCCATTGGCTGTAGCCTCGCCCGACGTCCCACTTGAATTTGAACTTATGAATCGAATTCGCTTTTTCTGAACCGTCAAAGAATTTCTTTTTTAGGTGACCACCTATAAGCACTTAAGAGAGCAGGACTTTTTGTTGGAAGTCGCGCGATCTGTTTGCCTTCAAGAGGTGCGTGAAGCTTTCGGCTTTCGACCACAACTCGCCAATCCGTATGCCCTGGTCGCCGAGGAACTGACTAAGCCGACCACTCAACTCCACCCGAATGCACTCAAATACTTTCAGGTCAGCAAAAGGGGCGACCGAAGAGTCCGGATTCAGATCTGGTTCAAAAAAGAGCAGCCTTATACGGGGTGCGGCCAAAGTTCTGTCCTTTTTAAAATTATCTTTAATTGGATTCTCTCTGATTGTTATTATTTCATAAGTGTTTAGAATTAAAAGATTGCCAATCTTTCACAGAATTCAAGTCTTTTTACCGTTTTTAAATAGCTTCTTAGATTTTGAGTTATCACAATTTTTGTGAGCTCTGTGGTTGCACCACTGATTAGTATTACGAGTATAGGAAAATTCTATTAACCTTAGAACTCAGACGACTAGGAGTCTGTAAAAAATTGTTTATAAGTTCCAACCTGAAAACACAACAACAGTTTTCAATAAGTTGTCATTTTTCTAGAAGAATTGACAAAAATAAGTGGGACCAAAGAGACTTTTTTTGAAGAGCATAAAATAGCGATAACTCAAAAGCTAAAGGAGCTATTTAAAAAAGGTAATAAGATTTGAATTCTGTGAAAGATTGGCTATCTTTTGACTGTAAACACTTATGAGATAAAAACAATCAGGAGCTTTTAGGGAGAATTCTAAAAAAAACAGAACTTTTGCCGCACCCTGTACGTATAGCAAATTAAATCAGTTTTTTTTGTAAACAAATGGATGTAATGATGAGAAGGTAAAATCGTTCATAACGTTAAACTCAAAAGTCTTGTATCAACTTACAGTTGCAAGTGTTGCGACTTACGCCCATAGCTTTGGATCCACAGTACTCGTGGGACGACCAGCGAATCCGTGCAGCTCAATACCTTCTCACGCGATTCCCCGTCATAGGTCGCCTCTTTGCGTCGAGGTAATGCGAGACTTGGGTAATCTATCGTATCTTACACGTGACGTTATTATGTGATTCTTGGTCAGCGTTCAAGCCTCCAACAACAAGAATACATTCATTGAATCATTGAAAAGTTTATCTATAGTGCAGCCTTGACTCTGTTTGGTATTAATACCGCATAATAAGTTTCCCAAACATTCAGATGGACACGGAGGGGATTCGAACCCGTGGCACAGAATTGGATAGGTCTGGTAGACACCCACACTACCCACTAGCCCACTGGGGCGAACGGGGGAGGCCACTTAATCTCGCGCACCCGTTTCCCGAGTAGATGCCCAAACTTACAACGCGTTTTTCTCGAAAACTAGGCCTTCTTGGCAAAATCCGAAAACGCCACCGTGATCACCGTATTCGACTTGTGTTTGCACCTCATTTTGGTGCCGAAATGTCACGGTCACTTCTGAGCATTCCCTTGTTAGAGAGTAAGCAAGGACATCAGTTAATCCATTATTAATTACCGTATTTATTCTATTAGCAGCACATATTCTTCTATTTTTCAATCTCCCAAAATCGATCGGCCAAAAAAGTAGGTAAGCGTAGGTAGTACATGAATCAAAAATTTAAAATCTATTAAAAACTATGTTAATTGTTAGAGCTTGGCCCAAAACATACAAAAACGTGTTTTCAGATTAAAGTTTTTCCTTCCCAAAATTCGATTGATGATTCTTCGAAAAAAATCCACGTGCTCTATGTATTTATTCTATTAGAAGCACAGGAATATGTGCTTCAAATAGAATAAATACGGTAATTAATAATGGATTAACTGATGTCTTTGCTTACTCTCTAACAATTTTAAAATTATTAATTAAAATTTTAAAATCCATGTGCTCCCCGGTTTAAATCTCTCCATAGATGGGTCTAAAGTCAAGATTTCGAAAGATGTCAACAATTTTCTGAATTGTTGCCTCCATTGGAGACTGTGCTTCTATTATTTGGTTGGCAATAATGAAATTTCGTTTTTAGCTTTAAGCCTTATTTAAAAACAATGCGGCTTCCAATCAAATAACTGGCGAAACAAGCATCAAATAACTGGTGAAAGCACAATGTTTGCTCAAAATTGATATTTACATCTAGATTTGTTCGAAAAAACTGTTTCAAATATACAAAAACCTTGATTTGGCAAAAATCACAACTCGTCTACTTAAGAAATCCTTTCAGGAAAACGGCTCGACGGTTTGGTCTAGAATTTTGTCTGCTTATTTAGCAAAATATCTTCTTTCTTTTGCGGTAGGCTACGAAAATACACGGTCTCTAGCAAATGTTCTGAATTGAAATTAACAAAAAACGTGGTTTTGGCCGCTTTTCCTCAGATTCCTGAAAAAGACTAAAACAATAGTTTTCCAGAGTATCTAATACTTAATTTTGTGTAAACGAATTTGGCTTTTACAATGGTACAAACCCTTTTCTGTTTGAAGGTCGCATCGTTTCTAAATAGGGTTCTAAAGTGAAACCGAAATTTCATTATTGCCAACCTAATAGAATAAATACGGTATTTATTTTCATATACGAATTCCTATTGAAAATTTTCTCAATTCTGGCTACGTGTTTTGATAATAGTTGATCATTTCAAGTCTAGATGGCATGAGATCGATCGTTTGCCACTGTCGCTTTGTCCGTCTAACATTGACAAGGCTTTCGACGCGACTCTCAAGCTCCTCGGCCATCTCTACCAGGCGCTCATCAAAGCCTATGTGAAATCGCAGGTAGTCTAATCAACTCCTCTACTTCTAGTTTCATAAGGTGTCCAATGAAAAAAACTCTTCAACTCGATCCTCCAAAGAAGTTTATAAGTGGCTGCCAAAAGGCGCTTCGGGGCTCACAATCTCGTCATGTTTTATACTTTTCTCGATTTGAAACCCCCATACATGTGTTTTTGGCTCTTGAGTAGAATCCTAGACTTTTGGAAGAATCCTTTTGGAAAAATCCTCGACTTTTGGCTTTTCTTTTGAAATTTTTGATTTACCAGCAACACTTTATTAACAACAACATAAAAAAAGTTTCAAATTTCAGATTTCCTCCTAGCTCTTGTTGAGTTATTGTCTAGGTAAACCAGTTTTCGCTTAACTGTCGGAAAAAAAGTCCCAATGCTTTCCAACAGTTTTTCTTATCAGACCAAACTTTGTTGCAACGTTTTCTTGGTCGTTTTTTTTAAAATTGGAAGCCCAGTCTTCTAGGAGTCGTAGCTGCTTTGTAATAGAAATGTTATCATCTTCGAAGACACTCTGGTTGCGAATAGAAATTTTGGCTGGAGAACATTTGGGATTCACTGCAGGCGTACCCAAGAAGAGATCAAATGACTAATACTAATACTATTAGGTTGATGCAAAAGTCTTTTTCATTTTTTTCGTACTTCCGTTAAAAAGTAACAAATGCACCAATTGAACAACGGTTTATTGCATTCGAAAGGCCAATTATTTTTCTGCAAAATGACATTAAAACGAGTTTAAAATGTCTTATGTCTAGATTTTTTTCAGAGCCTGAAGTCGGGTAGTCAAAAAAGGCGACGGCTCGATGATGCATTTTAGACGCTTTAGCTAAGGAAACCAATCTTGATGTTAATAAATAAAAGATAGAGCACAAAAAGTTAGATATTTTTTCAGATTTTCAGAGAAATTGATTCAGCCAATTTCTTTATAGAGGTTTTTATAGATTTTTATGAAAAACCCGTTTTCACTCTCGAATTTGCTTGAAAGTGAACCCAAATTGACTTAAAAAGATGGGAAATTGAACAATAAACACTTTTCATTTAGAGCAAACCATAGGTTAATTGATGACTTTGTTATTTTTCAAAAGAAGTACGAAAAAAATGAAAAAGACTTTTGCATCAACCTAATAATAAAAAGATCAAATAGAGCCAAAAGCCAGATAAAAGCCAAAAGTCCAGGATTTTTCCAAAAGCTCATGATTCTACTCAAGAACCAATTTTTTTTGTCCTATTAAAGCCATAACAACCGCCACAGCATCAGCAAAAATTGAATATCTCTAAAACGACACCATGAATCTTTGCAATTTCTTTTCTCAGATTTCACGGGACATTTTTGCAATTGCACTTTCCAAAAATTCTCCCTCTATGTACTTTCCAACCTTGAGATTAATGATAAGAAAAAATACGCCAATTCTATTACTGTAATCATAGGGTGACGGCTATCCCGGATCACATTTCAATCACGAACACGTCGCCATTTGGTTCTTGCAGCTCAAAAATGATGGCGCTTAATGGTGGAGCTGAAATATTTCTCCTAATTCTCTCAATTTCCATTCCATATTTAAGTGAACGGTAGTGGGACAAATTCGACCTTTTTTTGCGCACCCGGACATTTGCGCACCTTTTTTTCCGCACCTTGCCCATTAGCGCACCTTTTTTCGCGTTTTAAAAAAGCTCTAAAAAGCTAATATTAACCAATTTCTATTCCAAGAGTTGTTTTTCTAGGTAATTTGAGGGCGTAGAATCGAAATTTTGACATATCAGAGCTTGTGGAAGCGAACGGACGGAGTTATACAATGCGAAAAATCAACAATCTTCTGTAAAAAGCCAATATTAACCAATTTCTATTCCAAGAGTTGTTTTTCTAAGTAATTTGAGGGCGTAGAATCGAAATTTTGACATATCAGTGCTTGTGGAAGCGAACGGACGGAGTTATACAAAGAGAAAAATCGACAATTTTCTGTAATTTGATCTAGCCGTTTTGTCTTTCAAATTGGTTCCACACGCTCTGATATGCCAAAATTTCGATTCTACGCCCTAAAATTACCTAGAAAAACAACTCTTGGAATAGAAATTGATTAATATTAGCTTTTTAGAGCTTTTTAAAACGCGAAAAAAGGTGCGCTAATGGGCAAGGTGCGGAAAAAAAGGTGCGTAAATGTCCGGGTGCGCAAAAAAAGGTCGCATTTGTCCCACTCCCAAGTGAACTATTCTCCGAGCAACTCTCTTTTTTCTTAACTCTGCACATTAGGTCTATCATTAAATCATTAAATCTTTATCAAATTTGAAATCAATCAATCGTTTTAATGGCTTCTTTAAATTATCTTGTTTCCGTATTTACACTAATCTATTTTATTCTCAATCCTGATTGGTGCTGTCATAAAAGTTTTGTATTATAAAATTGTTTACTTCATGTTCGAAAAACAGATAAAATTGTAACGAAAAAGTGAAATGACAAAAATAAAACATTTTGAGGGCTTTGGCGATTTATTTTGCAAACTAGATTTTAATTTTGATTTGTTAGTTTCAGCAAATCTAGAATCTGGTACAAGGTAAGAAATGGATGTTAAAGGAGTACAGGTTTCGAAATGCACATGCGATCGGTTCGCTCAATCATCACCCCAACATGACCGGCTAGAACTTTTCTTGTGTTTTATCTCTTTCTTCTTTTCTCTTCCCCTTGTATTTCCTCTTTCTTCTCTGGCAAGAAGATGCCGGATAGCTCAGTGGTTAGAGCATCTGCAAAGGTAAAAAGGTCAAGGGTTCAATTCCCTCTTCGGAAATCTTTCTTGACTCTTTCTTACTTTACTTTATTACATCTCTAGTACCAGAAAATCTCTAGTATCGGATCTCTAGTACCAGAAAACTAACTCCTACAAATTAACCAAGTTATGTTGTACATGTTACTATTCCTCGAAGACAAAAGACCTCATTTCCAGATTAAAGTACTAGACTTGACTCAGGATAGTGCAAAGTCATAATCTGTCCTAATTCTATCATCATTGAGCAATTTTTAATTAAATCCAAAGGGTTCACATAATTTTGAGACAAATAGAACAAGATGCCCGTTATCGGTAAGCTTACAGAAAAGCTATTGGTAAGCTTACAGAAAGGGTTGACAAGCAAGTAAAACGGACTGTTAGAAATAAAAACCGATTCTACCGAATGGGATATTAAGAGGTACGTATCTAAATTTGGAAGTGGACCGTTTGAACTCGGCCAACTACTGTGGATTCTGAAGCTCTACGCGACGCAGTTGAAGCCAATCCATCAACCAGTACTCACAGGCTCTCCGCTGAACTGGATATTCCTCAAACATCAGTTATCCGGCACCTTCACACCCTTGGAAAGATCAACAAAAGCTGTCGAGAAGTGCCACATGATTTAACGGAAAATCAAGCTCAAAATCCGACTTTCTTTTCGTGTCTTTTCGACTCAAAAAGCTCATCTTCATCTTAATATTCGAAAAATTAAGTACAGCAAAAACTCATGAAGTCATTGGGGAAATGTTGATTAGAGCTCTAGATTAGAGCTAAGCCAATTTTCAAACGATTTGCAGTATGATTGCAGTATGATTGCTGCAGAAAGTTCAGTGGAGTACACTTTTATTCTTGTTGGAGTACAAAGTCTATTCGTTATAGCCAATTATAGCTTCATGGGAAATATGGAAGGGAAATTGAGTGTGGAGGCGTGGAAAAAGAACAATTTGTACGTGATTGCTTTTGGGATTGTACTTATTGCTAAAAATAAGTAAGTATTGAGGTACGATTTTGCAAGAATACATATTCAGATAGATTCAGATTCAAATTCAGCTAATTGATAGTAAATATTGATGGAAAAATAGTTCTAGCACTCAAGTAGACTTTGATCTAGGAGAAATTGAAGAGCTTTAGATTTGAAGAGCTTTAGATTTGAAGAGCTTTAGATTTGAAGAGATTTAGAATTGAAGAGCTTTAGAATTGAAGAGCTTTAGATTTGAAGATCTTTAGATTTGAGGAGATTAAAAGATTACTGTAATGTTTACTGTAATTAAAAGCTTATTGTAATACGGTGAATTTGGTAAATTTCATCGTAGTTGCTACCCAATTTCCTATACTAAGCTTTCTATGTGCTTTCCGTCCATGAACGCTTTGAAAGTTCAGTGGAGTACACTTTTATTCTTGTTTGAGTACAAAGGCTTCAAATCTAAAGATATTCAAATTACAAGATCTTCAAATCTAAAGCTCTTCAAATCTAAAGATCTTCAATTCTAAAGATCTTCAATTCTAAAGCTCTTCAATTCTAAAGCTCTTCAATTCTAAAGCTCTTCAATTTCTTCTAGATCAAAGTCTACTTGAGTGCTAGAACTATTTTTCCATCAATATTTACTATCCATTAGCTGAATTTGAATCTGAATCTGAATTCTTGAAAATTGAAGTACAATTCTTCCATTGAAATTTCAAATGAGATTCATTTCTTCAATTCAAAACCATTTACAATCATTTATTTGCATTTGAAAAGCATTTTGCGTTTTCTAAAAGACAATATTTCAGAAAATCAGTGTAATAAATCAGAAATCATTCGAATTTTGATAAAATTTTTGCTAAGCCTTGTAATTTCTTATCAAATTATATCAAATTCAATAAAAACTAGCACTTTCATTATTGTATCTAGAAGATTACCGTAATACAGTTAACTTGCATTTTTCTGTAACTGTTTCCTTTTGCGCTTTGAGTATCTATGAGCCCGTAAACGCATCCCTTCTGGCGCACTGAATTCTTCATTTCCAATGAAAACCCTCGTTTTCTGGAACGGTAAAAACGGTAAACGGTAAAAATGCTAAAATAGCCTACATCTTAATGAAATCTAGTAACGGGGTAGGCTAATTTCCGTAATTTTTTTTGCCCAACAGAGTCCTTTGCGCAAATCGCCATAACTGTTTTCTAAATGGGCCAATCTTTATCGTTTTGGTGTCATTTTGTTGTCACTTATTGAGATCTACAAAATGAAACCAAAATCATAAAGATTGGCTGACTTAGAAGAAAGTTATGGCGAGTTGCGCAAACGACTCAGTTGCGCAAAAAAAATTGCGAAAATTAGCCTATCCCCTAGTAGCTCTAAAAGCTCGCTCATCTTACTGTAAACCCAAACTTCAGTAACTTGACTTGTAACAAAGAAAAAAGCAGAATTGCGTTTAAATTCTTATGCAATTTGCATCCTCTAATCCACACCAAATCCATCAATATGACAGAAGTTTTCTGTTAAAATTTTTGAGAATAAAAGATGAGGGTGAATTCGATTCTAACAAAATAAGCTCGAAATCTCTTTGCACTTTCGTTTCCTTGGAGATCATCCTGTCGAAAAAGGGTTTTGAAACCGAAAAATTTGAGACACAGGAAATGGATCAAAAAAAAATCAAAAAGAGCTTACGCATCACAATCTGGATAAGAGATTGCCATTACCGTATGCTAAATAGAAAAGAATTGTGCTTTTTAATGATCAATTTACTTTAGATGAACTTACCTTAGAAATCAGCTTTTTTTTTGATAACTTTTCGATAGTAAGCAATAGAATGAGAACAGAAAATCACTAATTGCATTTTTAAAAATCTTTTACCAACAATTTCTTTAGTTAATCATTCTTTTGATCGATATCGTTGGTTATCGTTGATCGTATCGTTGATCGATTGATCGATTGATCGATTCGTTGATCGATTCGTTGATCGATTCGTTCGTTATCGTTGATCTCCACACCGTTGCATAGAAATTTGTCCAGAAATCCAGAAATAATACAGTTTTTTACTTTTTATATCGTTTCATTAAGGGAACTCTGGGCTTTCAAATGATGCCAAATAAAATTTGATTGAGTAACTCTAAGAAAAGCGAGACACAATACGCTCAAGCCAGATCGCATCATTCTCTCAGTTTAGCTGTTTTTTAAGCACCGTAATGGTTTTAAAAGATGTAGAAATTGCAAAAGAAAATACTAGAAATTTAAGAGTAAAAATTGATCTCAAAAATTTGAGCATAGTGACGCTTAAAAGGGAGAATCCGGCTAAGTCGCTTAGTCGCTTAAATCACAGCTAAATTGAGCGAACAGAGTCTAGTCTGCGTCTGTGTCTGTGTCTTGTTTTTTTTAGAGTTGAACTCAATCAAATTTTATTTGACCTCATTTGAAAGCCAAGTAAACAACGATCTTATTTCCGAACAAAGTTCTATGCAACCTTACGAGATCCACGATCAGAAGGATGGTTAATTAAAGCAATTCACTTTATTCATTAACTTTTTAACAAATCCTTTCTCATTTGTCAAAAACTTTGAATTAGATCGTTGTTTACTTGGCTTTCAAATGAGGTCAAATAAAATTTGATTGAGTTCAACTCTAAAAAAAAACAAAACACAGACGCAGACGCTTTTGTACTGTTCACTTTTGTATAGTTTTAATGAGGACACTTCAGCCTTTCAAATGATATCAAAAAGAATTCGAATTAAGCCATATAATCTCAAAATCATATCATTTTGGTTTATAAT